GATTTTGATCTCCCTGCTAACTCGGAATGTCGAATGCAGTTTAATTTTGAAAAGGCGTTCTTAAGGTTTGTGAAGTTGGAACTATTGTACGATCTGTTGATTCTAAGTTAGACAAACTATATTTTCATCCCATTTGACGAAAATCTGAATTTAGAATTCGAGAGTATCCTCCCGACGCCAATCATGGAATGTACGTGCCCGGTGCAATCCTCACTCTATCAGGTGCTAGAAAGGATGGAAATGAAAGTCTAGTGTAAGTCTATCAACAGAATGACAATATAATATATCAAAGTTCAGCTATCACAAAACTTTGGTTAAAGTCTCTGAGAATTGAGCGTAGAATATTTTATTTATAAGCTACTTCACATATTGCATTAGTTGACGCATTCCAATTACGGAGGAACCACAGTTTTCCTAACGAATAAAATTTTGCCAAATCAAGTGTCGTTGTGGTCAAATTTTCTATAACTCGACTAAGCACCCCTTTGAAGAATAAACAAGTACCAATATTTCTCTCTCTCTCTCTCTCTCTTTCTCTCCCTCTCTCTCTCTCTCTCTCTCTCCCCTATACAATTGACTATACCATGAAAGGCTCAATTTGTTTCTTCCGTGTAGTCTTTTTTGTGCTCAGATTTTCCTCTCCATAGTTTTTTTTTGTAGAATCCCTTATCTGGTAGGAATGTAAAATAGTTAAGCGTAAATTTTTGATTTAAAAACTAGCAGTTTAGATTTTTCAAAGCTCAAGTTTTTGTCCTTCATAGTATGCTATCCAGAACAGACGCTCTCGGCGTATCCCTTAGAAAAATCAGTATTTGTACAATTGCCAGACTGTATATTAACGAGTATGTCAAAAAAGCGTAAAGCAGTGCACTCAGTCATCTCACTACTTGCTTTTGAACTCACTATCAGAAAATAGGCAAATGTCAATAGAGATGGGAAAATGTAGCGCGCTTTTATTCTCCAAAACGTTGAGTGATGCAGGGATAGCAAATAAGTGTCGAAGTTGGAAGTTTGACGAACTGGCATTGTTTATGTCTGCTTAAAACTTATTTCAGGAGTGTCGCCATGCATGGGAATGTGCTCTTGATCGCTCTCCCGGTTCCGGATTTCAGTATGCCATTTAACGTGATCTGTTTGGTAATGACTACTGTCTCCCTTTGTTTCGGACCAATTCATAGTTTCTCTACCAAGATGTGAGTAGTTGTGAGAGTGTTCTGCGAAAAATTTTTAACGTCATTACTTTCAGCCTAATTCCCGTCAACTCAGTTCTGCCGGGATCATCCCTCGCCAGGAAAGTTTTTCGCTTTTTCTTGCTCATATTGCTGGCATTAGCATCGTACGCCCAATACAAAGAGATGAGTCTTCATGAGATACGAAGGAGTATAGAGCAGTTCTTCGAGAAGATGAACAGCGTTTAGCATGTGATTGTATAAGATTTTGTTAGCTGCATAGCAGGTTGTCGAGAACCTCAGGTACGGGTTGATTTCCACTTAAATTTTGTTCTTTCAAAATTGTATGCGCGAATTTAATATTCAATTTACTATGCATACAGCATTTTTAATAAACGTTGAAACATGTTATCTTGTTGTTACCCAACGCGGGTAGTCGCTGCTGTTTTCTTCCTGCAGAATGTAGGGTAGTTGTTTTTCTCTGTTATTGCATTCGCGGAAGCGATGATACCATAAATATACTATTGGCTAAGAAGGACATGCTTTTTAGCATTGTGCCTCATTCTTGGAAATAGAACAACAAAATCTATTGGTTTCTATTGCAAGCTGAATGATTGCTTCATCTAGGTATACGTATGTGTAAAGGATAGCAAATTATCACAATTAGTTCTCATTTGTTGCACGTGACGTTCGTTAGTATGCGCCCTGCTATAATTTGACTTTTGATATATCTGTGGGAGGAACTCAATTACAACGCCATCGGACAACTACTTTTCGTACTTTCCAGGTACGCGTTGCTTGAACCTCATAGACCTCGTTCATTCGCGTGCTTCATCACCAAATGAACTAACAAATAAATTCATGCACTCATGGGGTGACAAAATTACAGAGAGGAAAAAAGTTAAGATTAGAGGTTAAAGTCCTGTTGAGTTCTTCGAATAATTTAAATTGAAAAAATGGTTCTGTTAGATTTGTATCCTTACTTCAAGCAATAAAACTTAAAATTAGCAGCA